ATTTTGTCATAATAAACTTAAAATCAACTAATTACAGACTACGCATAAAATATGGTGTGATGTCCGGGGTACCTGATCAATCTAACAAACATCCAAATACAGTATAAAAATAAATATTAGATCATTTCAAATTTGTCTTCTGTCAGACATATGGTATGAATTGGAAAATATATGGAGATTATAGTTGCGAAATGAGACGGTAGTTTTAAAGTAATTTATATTAACTTATAGTTATTGACGTCGTATTATTAACCATCACTAACTCGTTAAATGATGTTTGATTTTATAATTTATAGTTTTATTTTTATTATTTCTATGGTGACATTTTCTATTTTTTCAATATATCCACCTTTCTAAGAACTCCCGTCTCACCAGTCTTTTCATTTTTGTTCACTGGCCATTTCTACTATACTAAATACGGCTGTATGTAAACTGTAGCAAAATTTACATTTTTCAAAAAGTCGATATGTAAACTACGGAAAAAAAAAAATTAAGATTATATAATCTGCCACAAAACTGATAAGATACATCATACAAACTGTGGCAATTTAATTAGATACCTATTGTATTATTATTTATTTATTTATTTTTTTTTTTTTATTATACGATTTTTAAAAATAATTTTTAATATAATAATAATATTTTTTAATTTTAAAAATGGTTTTTTATTATACAATCATACGATCTAATTGTTAATAATAATATATTTTTCAATTTTAAAAATTGTTTTTCTTTATTTTTACGCCTAATACTCTAAAAGATACTAATAGCTGTCATAACACGTAATACGTATTATACCTAATTAAACAATAAACGTGTAAAAGTATATAGAATAAATTGCCACAGTTTGTATGATGTATCTTATCGGTTTTGTCGCAGATTGTACAATCTTAATTATTTTTTTGCTGCAGTTTACCATCTCCCCTAAATACACGCAGTACCTATAGACATTAAAATCATATTATATGTCAATTTTTATTGACTTAATGACTCGTCTATAATAGTATAATATAATTTAGTATTAAATGGATATATATTTCTTCTGTGGTAAGAACTCATGGTTCTTGAGTTTTCTTGATCAAAATATAAAATTTATAATTTATTGCACTCGTTGATTTTTCGTAAATCTAGTAAATCAACTAAAAGTCTTCAAAAAAAAAAAATATATATATGTTATTTTACATAATGTTGCCAAGTGTCTTTTCGTAAAACAACCAATTAATTATTTATTTAAAAAAGTTATTTGTCCAGCTCCTATTTTTGTGTATATAGTACAGACATGCACAACACAATGCAGTTAAGTACAAAAGTAATATAATATATCATGCGTACGAGTTTAAAATGTACACTACAATTTGATTTAGTGCAAACAAATATCAAAATGATAAATGCATGCGTTTTACAATATTTATTAATCATGAAAAGTGAGGAATTTCGAAAAAGAAGAAGCCTTGGGATTCACTTACTTATTTTTCTTTACTCGTAAAATGTAGATTAATTTAAATTAATATATAGTGACATAAAAATAAACAACAGTGACACAAAATCTTTTAGATGAATAATATTATGATGCGATCAAATCACAATTATTGATGATGGTTAATAATATAATATACCTACATATAATAATTTATAGAGTATTATTTATTACTGTAACATATTGGTATAGCCTTTTCGTTTTTACATTCATAAACTGCCGTAGTGCACATAATTTATTTGAAAATAATAAATACATGACTTTTACGAAGTGTAATATGAATATAACGTATATAGTAAATACTTTTTAGACAACACATAATTCTTATTTCTAATGATTTATTGTTATACTTGGTTAAGAAATGTGCTTAATTTTACTATTTTGTTGTTATATATACTTACTTATTATAATCAATGATAACTAATATATAAGAATTATATTATTAAGCTTAGTTATTTCAATTTTTTACTACATAAACATTATCCTAATACTAATAAAATATAATATTGATAGGTATTAAATAACATAATATTTTAGGTTTGAAGTAAATATGACAATATACGGAGAGAGAAAATTACTGGTTATTAAGTTATTCCTACTATTCAAATATTTTTTTCAATAATAATCTTATGGGAAGGTAAATTTCACATATACTTTTTTGTCAGTTAGTGAGCAATAGTTTCGTACTTTTTAAAGGTAAAAGTGGGCAGTCGTGCAGCACCAAAGATGAAGAATGATTACTGAATTCGGAAGATTTTATGTCTCATGTGACATAAAAATGTAGGTTGACGGTGACAAAAACAAGCTATATAATACAGATGCGCATGCATTAATGGTTGTAAGTGTTCACGGTTAGATAAAGAGAAATTGACAAAGTGCCTACCTCCAATACAGTCATATAGAATATTATGTGTCCATTATAACTTACGGCGAGTATCTATTGTTGTGCAGCGCACGTGTAGTATACATTTCCATTAATATATTACTACGATCATTATTATTAAAATATACCTCGTGAGACATACAATTGTTATTCAAACACATTTGTCCAGACCACGAAATCAGTACGGGACGAGTGGGAGAGGAGAAGAGGAAACGAAAATACAATTATTAAAAAAAAACGAATGGCATTAAAAATCTGTTCGGCTCTTCTTTTATACAGAATGATTCACTATGCCTGCACATGCATATTATATACCCTTTTCATCATTTTAACAACGCATTTATTTGGATTATAACATTTGAAATATTTAACTATAATCAAGTGTCTAAATATTTAGATTTTTTTAAATCATTCAAAAAGTGTGCTGTGGTTGTTCATATAGTTTATTTACAAACACATTGTATTTAAATAAAAACTAACCTTTGTTTAAAGTAAACCTAAGGTTATTTTAGCAAATAATGTTTTTCAAAATTTTAATGTACCTACTTAATCAAAAGTCTAACAAGTATTTTTTTAAATCAGGTATTAAATTATATATATCTATCAAGATAATATGTAGTAGGTACTAAATAATATTATGAATTATAAAGCAAATAAAATATTTAATCTAATAGATAGTTATATACTTGGACAGTTTTTAAAAATTATAAAATACTAATAGAAGACTAACATCTAACTTATTATATTTTTTAAATTATTAAAGCCAGTGAATTTTTAAATTATTATTAGTATACGCAACGTTAAAAACTATGTTATTATTATTATTAAATAGCTTTTAGTCCGTAACTATAACATCTCGTCAATTATGCAATTATACTAGATAGGCAATTAAGATAAACATAGAAGAAAAAATGCACGAAAATAATATATACAACATTAAATTACAAAACCAGCTTCCAATATTAGGTTAATTATTTTTTTAATGACCATTTCAAATTAAATATTGAGCATAGAAGGGGGATTAGAGGAATAACATTTAAAACTTAGAAACTAATAATTTCAAGTTCAAGATAGATACTCGTACATTAAAATGTTCAAAAAAAAAGTCATCAACTTAATCCACTTAAAGGAAAAATAGCATTTATTTTTTGAAAAAAAAATTGAGTTGTTACCTACTTTATAATATGGAGTCATATGTTGTCTCATTGCATTATTTAAACAGTTTACTAATATAAGCATTTGTAAATGCTTATATGATCGTGATCGTGCATAGTTAATCATCCTGTATAAACGTGCGCCGAGCGAAAGCTATGATGCGTACCTATATCACGTCACGGTGTAGCGAATAACATGTGAGACATATAACATACCTAATAATAAATAATATTTCGTCATCAATTGTGCTTGGATGACTGAAACTATAAATAATAATAATAATAATAATAATAAAAATTCTCGACGCAGCGACGACCAAACGTACATATTTTTTGGCTCCAACTTTTGTCGAATTTTCGCGTTTAATCATTAATGCGTTATATTGTTGAAGCACGCGCATACACGCGATATAGTATAATAGTAATAGTAATAATATGTATCATCACTGGCGACATTTTATCGCGGTCGAGTGAGTGTTTCGGGGGAAAAAAAAAACTTACAGCATCGTATCGTAATGATAATATCATAGGGTGAGCAATTGCATTTCGGTCACGTCTCTGCGACGCCATCGCAGAGCGTAGTCCGCGTACGCCAGTCGCGTGACTAAACGGGTGAATTTTGATACTTGGATTGTTTTCCGTTTTTTTGTTTCTTCTATTCAATGTCCACCACCGTGGTCGGTTATGATAATGTCGACAGTAAATTATTACGATAAACCGGTGTGGCGAACGTTCTACTTAAACGGGAATCCTTTTCCTTGTCGCATTTCTATTTTTACGACAAAGGAATCCTTAATCCTTTTGTAGTTTCACAAAAAATAAATATCATACATAAACGCACTTGTGAGTATATAGTATACCACTCATATTTTATAACGTAGTGTAACCACAATTGCACATAAACAATTTTTGCCTTTATGAACTATATTTCACACGAATTTACATCAATTGTTTTAATATTATATAAATAACGAAATCATTAAATAATCATGAACACGAAATTTAATTCTTTCCTCGAAACGTTAATTTATTCACTAAATTTGTTATTTTTGGATATTTTTTATTTGTCTAGGGACTAAATTCGCTTTTATATTCATATTTAATAGAAAAACAGTACTGCACAAAATACTACTGCTCCATTTATTTTTGACATATAACATGACCGTTTTTAATGATAAAACTTTTTGAAATTCACTTTCTCAAGTAGGTGAACCGAGTCCCCCCGGCTTATTGTGACTTACTCTCTAAATAAAACTCACCGTAATTGATTTAAGAATAGTTTGACTCATCACAAGAAACACACTAAAATCTCGTTTATGTTTTAGTTCTCGCCTGGTGAACTATATATTAACCTTCCATTTTATCACCAACAGAAAATCGCTCGCGTCTTTTTGTCTGCATTTTACGGTGTATATAAATCAATGACTTACAAAATAAATATATGATACAATCTAATTAATATAATATCATTGTTGTATGCGCTTACCGATGACAGTACCGTAGCTGAAGAACAGTTGATGGAACTGCGTGGCAAAACTGGTGAAGAGACATCCAAGCGCGGTGATCAGGCCGCCCATGACGGCCGTCAATCTTGTGGATTTCCGCCGGCAAAACGCTATCGTCACCGGTGACAGCAAAAGCGCCACTCCCGTGGACATTGCTCCCAGCCATCCTGCGCACATAAACACATACGTTAACTTACGCATAATATACAAACACCTCGTTATTATAATCGCCAGGATATTTACATATTTTTAAATATATTATTATTATCAACGGTATGAGCGTAGGCAAGCAGATACGACATTATTATACAGAGCGGTACAGCTGACTGTTGCTTTGCACTTATTTTCCAATTCAATGTTTGAATTTTTTTTTTTTTTTTAAACATCCGTGCAAATTTTACTCTTAATACAATTAAGTCTAAATAGTTCCAAATAGATACTATGTTTTTGTATAAATACATTGGTATATTTTTTTTCTATTACTTATAGTGGTTTTCTTTTTTAAAGATTACTCATTTTTATAATTTTTTGATCAGAAGTAAAATATTTTCATTAAATTTCAATGTAGCGGACATACCAAATATTGATTTACCTTAAAGTTCATATTGACACACTATTGTTTGTAAAGTTTAGAGTTTGGGTTCAAAAACAACACATAATGTTCTTGGAAAATCATCACTCTGTATTAAAGGAAAGTATATGGTGGACAAACTAGGTAGGTAAGTTCATAATAATAGTACGTACGCCGAGCCAACACCGGTAATCGCTTCGCAAGGATATGTCCGAGGAGACTGTTTCGATTCGTAACTGCTGTTACATTATAATATATTATCATAAAATGCATACATAAATCATTATTCTCGGAGATTAATCCGCGCAATTTTATTGATCTATAAATCGATAAACTTATAAATCTTAAATCCTATACTTTTGTAACATGGTTAAAGTGACCTAATTCAAAGAAAGACACCTATTCCTTTTTTAAGTTTACCGTAGCTAGAAGGTTTAAGTACTATAAACTATTAAATTAAGTTTTTAACAACAAGAAGTTACGTTGATTTATAATTCTGAGATTATTAACAAATGGTATGTTTGAGCTTACAATGTTTACAGTAATTTTTGAACTATTATCTGATGTGTCTGATTTTTATAATTTATAATTATTTTAGCAAGTTCAAAAAATCTTAGGTATGTATCAAATATAACTACTTGTGTATTTCAGTTAGTTCTACATAGTGTGATGATTATGTGTGGGGTATAATAAATACTTAAATCGAAATTTATGGGTACATCGCAATTATGACAATAATACAATCCATAAAAATTCGTCCTAATGTCAATAATAATTAATAATACACGGTTAGCGAGTTAGGTTTATGACGACTTTGGTTACATTTAATACAAATATTTCAATTATCAGTACCCACCGAGGTGTTGTCTGTGATTTTCATACCGGCATTTCATTATATGAACTACCGTGATGTCTGGTTACATTCTTTTAAAATATTACACTCGTCGCCATAAACATTCATATATCAATAACTATTGCAACTATAATAAATACCTGCCGATAGGGTGCTTTCGGTAATATTAATATTAAGTCTCCGCTATGAGTGAAGATATCAAAAAGTAACTTAATAGTTAATACATTATATTATACAGTGACGGAAAATTAAATCATAGAATTCGAAATTCATATAAATAAGATACATGATAAAATTAAGTACTTACTTATATCTCAAAGATTATAACTATTGTAACTTTATAATTTTTTTTAAATTTTAAGAAAAAAAAATACTGTTGTTTATAGTTTCATTAAATATCTAATTCTTATCAAAGCTCAATTTCTCCATTTTTTTTTTTTTAATTCCTAAAATTACATCTCTAAAGGTAGTGTATACATCTTTGCACTATACCACCTGCGTTCAGAATTTTAGGAGCACTTAAACTAATCGACAAAAACCCCCAGACTGTCGTAGAATACAAACTGCGATATACTTAAGTTAAACAAACACTATTTTACAACAGTAAATTAAATTGATTACTTGAAATCAATAATAGGTATATTATAATTTATTATATTAAAGTTATAGAGTTATGAATCATAACATTTTGATTTTATAAATTAACTGGCTACACCTAATTATTTTTAACTATTATTAAATTAACTAATTTTCTTGTTGTTTTGAGGTTTGATAAATTAAATACCCGTGGATTTACTCTTTTTTAAGTTCCGTTAAATATAAGCTATACTCAATTTTTGAAACAGTTATTTGGATTGTTCTTTGTTATTCATAAAAAAGCAGGGCTCAATTATAATAAATATTTAAACAATAAAAATCTTATATAAACAAAATAATATTTGTTTTTCATAGCATACGCCAAATAATCTTTAAGTGAACATTTCTTTAAATATAAAAATTGAAAATTTGTTTCGAAGTGCTTATTTTAGTGTTAAGTATTACCTATGTATCAAATTTCATAATCACTGAATTGGTTATAAACCGCTTACACATATACTCGAACATTGATTTTATAATTTATTAGGAATAGATAATTTTTGTAATTATTAAAATCGTAACTTGATATTATAATACAATTTGAATACGATAAACGATATTGTAATTTATTTTTAAACACTGTTTTATTTAAAGAAAAATATTAACGTCCAAGATGTAAACCTAATTATAGTTTATTATCATTACCTAATTTTAAATCATAAAATTACACTCGATAAATTATATATTAATATTAAATTATGTACCTAAATACCTTTGTAAATATTTTATGATGGATTTTTTTTTATTAATGATGCACGTTAATACTAATTATAGATAACATAAAAATAAATTAACTTTTAATCACGACTGACTTCCTATAATAATATATAATAAAATTGGATTACAATTTAATGTACCATGTAATGGTCGTTAAATGCACAAACATTAAATCTAAAATTACACATTTTAATATTCTCTTAAACACTTATAAAAAAAACGTAGGTTTATCGAGAGAATCCGAAAATATCGACTATCAAATCGTAAAATAGTGGGCGTAATAATATATTATAGTTTCACACGTCATATACCTACGTTACGAAAACATAAAATTTTTACCTAAATAACCGTTCTATAATAATATTATGTCAAGCTTGAAATCAGGATGATACGCCTTAAATTCTTAAGTGTTATTATCGATTTTTTTTTTTGGCACCGTTTTTGATATTGACATTTAGTAATTTCTATAACAATCCGAGAATAATGATGTCGTCAAGCCTGATATTAGTACAATAATTTTATGCAATTTATAATTGTCAGAAATGAAGTAGATTCTGTTTTAAATACTAGCAGCATATTTAGAAGAAAAAAATGTAAGTTAATCAAGCCAATTTGTATTACTATACTCTTATATTATATTATATAAAATATATAACGAACTGAAGCTTGAAAACAAATTGTTCTGAAACACAAACAATTATGACCAGGATAATAATATGACGGTCGCTATTTAATGTTAAATTGTTAACATTTTGTCGAAACTTCTAGTTGACCCAAAATTTATTGTGTGCGAAATTTCATTTAAAATTTTAAACGTTGATTTATATTAGGAATAACCAATTTACATAGGTACCTATAGATAAACTGTTAAAGGTCTGACATTTTTTCGTCAAATAAGTACGTATTCTGAAGTAACGTTAATTTCAAGTATTTTGCATTAATTATTTGAATAATTTTTCATTCTGTAGTTAAATACATTATAACAAAACCTTTTTAATGAAATATTTTAAGTACAAAGATATTATAATATCTAAGCCACATGAGCACAGATTAACAGAGAGATATCTTGGTTTACAATGAAAATATTTTCTATTCAGGATTTTTGGGGTAAAAAAAAAAAAGGATTAAAATTTTCAAAACCATTGTAAAGTAAGTTAGGTAATAAATCAAATCATTTTTGAGAATAATAACAACACAAATTCGCATTTTCTCTAAAATAATTATAGCCTATGAATTTATAATATAAATTAAAATATATAATTATAATAGTTATAAGAGTAATATTCGGTGATAGTAAATTTCAAATTTTTAAGATTAATTCACTGATTGTAAAAACAATAAAATAATTAAATTGATAACATGAAACATGGCTGTATGCTTAACGTAATTCCATAGGAAAAAAATAGATAGTTTTATTTATAAATATGTCTTCTCATTTGCCAAGCGTAACACAAAATACATATTAAGAAAATATAAATCAATGGATAAATAAAAATATGCATTTTTATTAAAGTGTGAACTGTATCATATCTATAATATGTAAATAGTTGGATAAATATACATAATATGCTCTCATTGTACTCACAACGTTATAAACTTATAAACAATAGAAACCTGCACTTGGTAGTTAGTTTTCTTTTTTAATGGACATATATTATTTCGATCGTTCCACGCAAAGAGTAAACGACAACGTTTAAGTAAATAAACTATAAATTCCGAGACGTTATCGAGTCAGCTGGGAAAGGCTCGCTGCAGAAGAAAAATCGCGCACCGTTAACAATAAAATGGGTATTTTACGGGATGAACAATAAACACAGTGTCAATGCACTTTTGTGTGCATCGAAAGCAATAAAGAAGACGCATCGTTTCCTAAATTACCAAAAAAATACATTCATATACACAACGAAAAATCATATATAGAAAGAGGTTTTTCTGGGTTTATTTCGTGTGTATATACGGTTTTATTGTTTTCTCTTTTCAACATTATAAAACAAATGACAAACTACGTTTTCCGCAAAACCCGTGTTTTCTACTGAAATGTACGCTTATTTATTTACAGTATTATCACAATGAAAATAATATCCACGTTATATAAATAGGTAATGCCGACCACTATGATATCATTACCTCTACTAATATGACAACCTTGTTAATATTTTATTCATTCGGGAAAGGAAGTATTATATTTAAAAAATTAATTTAAATTTTAAAGTTTAATATATTTAATATATAATAAATACTTGAGTACATGTTTTAGAATTTATATTCATAGAAATAATATAATATTTAAAAAATAATTGTATGAAATAAAAAAAAAAACAATAAAGGTACTACTGATTTAAGTATATTATAATATACTATAGTACCTAGTTATAATAGTTATGACTTAT